GCCATAGTAACTAAAACAGCATATTATTGGCAGAAGAACAGAGACATAGACCAATACAATAGAACTGAGAACCCAGATGTAAAACAATTCTCACATAATCATCCGATCTTTGACAAAGCAGGCAAAAACATACACTGGGGAAAAGAATCCTTATTCAACAAATGGTGCTAAGAAAATTGGATAGTCACATGTAAAAGTTTGAAACAGGATCCTCACTTATTCATAATCATCAACTCACCGGTTTGATAAAGACTTACGCGGTTGAACTATAAAATTCGAAGGAATGTTGGAAATTTCTAATTGGCCACCAACACTAATTTAGAAGAACCAAAAGGCAATCCAGAAGCAACAAAGAATAAATAAAAGGACAAAACTCATCAATTAAACTTCTCCACAGTCAAGAACTATCACTAGAAAACAGGAACAGAAAACCTTACAGATGGGAGAAATATTCACCTGCTACACAATCAGATAACGGCTTAACCTCAAGTAGAATCTATACAGAAACTTGAAATCAGCAAAAGGAAAAAATCAAACAACCCCTATCAAAAGTGGCAAAGGACAATTAACAGAAACTTTTCAAAGAAATAGGCTAATTCCAAGAAACATATGAAAAAATGCCTCAACATCCCATTCCAATCATCAGGAAAATACAAATCAAATCTCGCAATGAGATATCACTTACCGAATGGAGAAGTCATTTTATCAAAAGTCTCAAAAACAAAATGTTGTGGATGCAGAGAGGTAAAATACGCTGGTGGGCTGCAACTATGTAACCTCTGTGAAATCAAATGGAGACACCGTTAAAAGATACAAGGGGATCTACTCATTTACAGCAACCCTCTGGGCATTACCAAAAAAAAAAAGACATTCTATAAAAAGTACATTCACTAGAATGGTTATAGCACACAATTCACAATGCAAAGATGTGGAACACCCAACGTACACATCCATTCATGAGATTAATAATGTAGTATAGTATACCATGGAAGTTCCCACTCACATTCAACAAACAACAGCGATATACGCACCTCTTGTTTATCTGGGTAGAGCTGGAGCCCATTCTACTAAGTAAAGTATCCCCAAAATGGAAAAACAAGCACCACAATGTACTTACCATCAAATTGGTATTAACTGATCAACACTTATGTGCACATATAGTAATAACATTCATCAGGTGTCAGGCAGGTGAGAAGGGAGAGGAGGGGATGGGTATATTCACACCTAATGGATGTGGTGCACACAGTCTGGGGGATGTACACACTTGAAGCCCTAACTTGGGTGGGGCAAAGGCTATATATGTAACCTAAACATTTGTACCCCTGTAATATGCTGAAATAAAAAAAATACGCATGACATTCCTCAAAGAAATAGAAAATATAATTCTAAATTTTATATGGAACTTCAAAGGACTCAGAATAGTCAATGCCATCCTGAGCAAAAAGAAAAAAACTGGAGGAATCAAATTACCTGACTTCAAATTACACTACAGAGCTGTCGCAACCAAAATAGCCTGGTACTGGCATAAAAATGGACACATAGACCCAGAATAGAATATAGAACCCAGAAATAAATGCACACACTATAGGGATCTTATTTTCAACAAAGTTACCAAGAACATTCAGTGGGGAAAGGACAGTCTATTCAATTAATGGTGCTGGGAAAACTGGATATCCACATGCAGAAGAATGAAACTAGACCCCTATTTCTCATCATATACAAAAATCAAATCAAAATGCATTAAAAACTTAAATCTAAGACCTGAAACTATGAAACCACTAAAATAAAATGTTTGGGAAGTGCTTCAGAACATTCATCTGGGAAAGGACTTCTTGAGTTATACCCCCTAAAGCACAAACAACCAAAGCAAAATTGGACAAACGGGATCACATCAAGCTACAAAGCTTCTGCACAGCAAAGAGAATAATCAACAAAGCAAAGAGACAACCCACAGAATGGCAGAAAATATTTGCAAACTACCTGTCTGACAAGGGATTAATAACTGGAATATATAAAGGAGCTCCAACAACTCAATAGGAAAAAAATCAAATTATCTGCCTAAAAAATGGGCAAAGGATCTGAATAGACATTTCTGGAAAGAAGACATATAAATGGACAACAGGTATATGAAAAAATACTCAACATCATTCATCATCTGAGATATGCAAATGAAAACCACAATGAGATATCATCTCACCCTAGTTAAAATAGCTTTTATCAAAAAGACAGGCAATAATTAATGCTGGTGAGGATGTGGAGAAAGGGATAACTTATACACTGTTAGTGGGAATGCAAATTAGTGCAATGACTGTGGAGAACATTATGGAGATTCCTCAAAAAACTAAAAATAGAAGTATCATATGCCCCAGCAATCCCACTGCTGGGTACATATCCAAAGAAGGGGAGTTCAGTATATGGAAAAATATCTGCACTCCCATGTTCATTGCAGCACTATTCACGATAGCCAAGGTATGGAATCATCCTAAGTGTTCATCAACAGATGAACGGATAAAGAAATGGTGGTACATATACACAATGGAATATCATATTCCACAAAAAGAATGAAATCCTGCCATTTGAAACAATAAGGATGGAACCGTAGAACCTTATGTTAAGTGAAATAAGCCAAGCACGGAAAGACAAACCTCACATGTTCTCATTCATATGTGGGAGCTAAATATTAAAAATAATTCATGTCATGGAGATCAAGTACAATGACAGATACGAGAGGCTGGGAAGGTTGGAGGGGGATAAATTGAGGATGGTTAGTGGGTGCAAAAATGTAGTTAGAATGAACAATGTTGGATATCACAACAAAATGACTATGATCAACAATGGGTTAGGGTATAATTTAAAATAACTCAAAGGGTGGAATTGCCCTGTTTCTAACACAAAGAAGTGATAAATGCCTTAGGTGATGGATACCCCAATTACCCTGATTTGATTAATTCTCATTGTATGCTTGTATCAAAACACCACACATACCCTATGAAGATATACAACTATGATGTACCCATAATAATTAAAAAGAAAAAATTTACAAAATAAATAAAGCTACTTCAAAGATACAGCTGGGTGTCTTTTTGCAGATTTGCATAAATGCTACACTATTCCTTTCCTTTACCTCTAAACTGAACCTCAAAAGGCGAAGCAAAGCTCCCTCCCTCACCTCGCTCATTTCTGCTTAACTTGAGACATCTTAGCCTTCAACTTTGTCAGATACCAGAGAAAGCGTCGCCTGTCATTCTCTTCTCCCTCAGCCAGAGTCTCCTTTTCTCTCTTCACCCGCAAAAGAAGAGACACCAACAGGGAAAGCAAAGCGTCCCGAGGTTTCCTCTAGCCGAGGCTGGCTTGGCTTCCATTTCTGCCTCCAAGAGAGGCATGAATAACACTCCCGGCTTCCTTGGGTTCCTTCTCAGAGAGTTTATGCTGACTCACATGTTCTTCTGAGGTTGTTTTCTGTTAAGTTTTTGATGGGATGCCCCTAAAATTCACGTTCTATCGTGCACCCCCTTTTGGGACAGCCATCGGGCCGGCACACATGCGCGGCACTATGGATGCCTGCGGACAACACGTTAACCAGGTGATACGGGGCAGGCCCAGCCCTCCGCTGAGTTTATAACGTAGAAGGAGCACGAAGAAAGACACGCCTGGAAAGTTAATTACACAACATGACGTCACCAGTGCAAATCAGTAGTATAGAAAATGAGCGCGGCCTCGCTCCTGTTGTCCTAAGTAGCTGAGTGGGGAAAGCACGTGCTTTGGGGCCAGAGACCTGAGTCTCTAGAGCCAGCCCAGCACTTACCTGAGCCCAGGTTACCGAGGAACATCCCAAGAGACCCCCAAGCACCCCTGGTCTCCTTCTGCCTGAAAGACCCAAGGGCAAAGGCCTATCCTGATAGGATCAAAGTCTGATCCCCAAACCAAGGCTCAGCCAAGCCATGTCATCTGGACTGTGTGGTCTGTCATGAAGTGTCTAGTCATCCTGGATGGTCACAAACCAGACCACAAGATCTTCTCTGCTGTTAGGCTTTTAGGGTAGACAAAATGGCCCAAAGATTCCCTAATCCCCAGAATCTGTGCGTTTGGAGCACTCCACAGCACAAAGGACTTTGCAGATGCAACGATCAGGGTCATGGGTTTAAAATTGGGAGGTTACCCTGGATTATCCAGATTGGATTGGTCCCAGTCTAATCAAGTGAGCCTTTAAAAGCAGAGAACTTTCTGTGGCTGGAGGCAGGGAACATGAGACAAAAGGTAAGAGTTGCGGGTGGTAGTGTCAGAGTGATTTGAACCATTTACCAGACTTTTCTGGCTTTGAAAATGAAGGCTAACAAACCATAGAATACAGGCAGCCCCTAGAGGCTAAGAAGGACCTCAGCCAACAGCCAGCAAATGAATGAGGACCTTGATCCTACCTCAGATTGCAACTGAATTCTGCCAACTGCCTAAAGGAGCTGGGTAGCAAATTCTCCTGGAGCCTCTTGACAAGAGGTGGCATGACTGTCACCTTGATTTTCACCCTATGAGACCCTAAGCAGAGAACCAGCCAAGCCTGCTCAACCTCTGGCCACAGAAGTGGGAGACAGTCAACAGGAGCGTTGTTTTAAGCCTCCAAACATTGGAAGGTTGTTACAGCAGCAACAGAAAACTCGTACAGTGGGAGCTGAGATGTGCAAAGAAGAAACAGAGTCTCCAGTTGCCACCTGGAACCTAACACCATGTCCGACGTTTGCGTGGCATCCAGGCTTTCAAAGCAAGGTCCTGCCAATCCCTCCACTTCACCCTCCCAGGGATGCTGGGAAGTGGAAAAGAGAGAATTCCCAATTCAGTTCTTCCACTAAGGAGGAGAGACAGAGGGAAGTTCATGGTTTGCCTACGGTGGTGTTTCTAGTTAGTGGGAGCAGAGAGGTTAGAACTCCAAACTCAAGGCTCTCGGCACAGGAACCTTCCAGAAACCGCCACAGGAAGGAGGCGTGAATGCCAGCCTGTCTACTCACCTTTCTGTAGATGGCGAATATGGTTCCGATGGAGGCCAGGCAGTCAATGTTGGAAGATCCGTCCAGTGGGTCGAAGCAGACCACGTATTTCCCCTAAACCACAGAGGGAAGAGGCACCTGGTCAGAACGCCTTACCCTCAGCACCACTGCTTTGTGTCAGGGCCGTGCGTGGCAGACAACGCCGCACCAGGGAGAGATTTAAGCCATGGCGGATCCTTATCAGAAAGCGCCACTGCGTGTGGAGGGCAGCGCCCGCACACAGGACTCCCGCAAGCAGGGCCGCCCCGCCCTACACAGGTCAGCTCACGCTGCACGGGGGGCTGGAGAACCCCCCAGGGGCTCTCCTCCCTCGCCTGCTCTGGCCCCACCCTCCCTCCCGCCTGGGCCCACCAGGGCTCAGAGCTGCTGGGAGTGGCGGGAGCCCAGGTCCGGAGTTGGCACCTGGCAGGGAAGAGGTCGGAAGCAGAAGATGAACTTGGGCTGCCACTCAGAGACACCCAGGGCCGGCTCCACTCGTGTCCACAGTAAGGTCAGCTATAGGCTTGGGGATCAGTCCAGGCCAGTCCCCAGACAGGTTTTCTTTTTTCATCTTGGAGCATTTTTGCCAAAAGACTTCTGAAAATCTCAGAACAACATTCCCAGGGCCTCTGGGTCTGTCTACTAAGACAGCTGGTGTGCACAAATGCATCAGGGGAATGAGAAGACTCTGATTTTCCTGCACCCAACCCTCCTGTGCAATGTGAAGACCAGAAGACAGGGTGGGTGGGGTATTAGTAGACCCACGTCCCCCGCAGCCCCCTACTCTGCTGTCACAGGCAGCTCCAGCCATCGTTCCATGGAAGGAAGTCCCCAGACACGTTAGACAGGCCTCCGTGGGCAAGGGCCTGCGAGAGCCCTAGTGGCAGCACCAGTCGCCTGGTTAATCGGACACTGGGAACAAAACATCAAGTAAACTGGGAGGCCTTTCTCCCTCCACCCAAATTAGTTTTCCCTGACTTTCCAATGAGGAGCGGCGTAGGTTTGTCTGAGCTTTATTTCTGTTTCTTTTTTTGCTCAGCCAGAGGGAGGGGGAAAAAGTGGGACCATCTATAAACTAAGAAATTCCCCAGCCTCTGTACAAATAATCCAACATAGCCCAAACACTCAGTCATGCATTCATTCAACAGATGTCTGTTGAGCATTTAGCATATGCTGGAAAATGTCCCAGGTACCCAGGTTTCAAGGGGGACAACCATGGAACTGACACCCCAGTGGGGACAGAGCGCAGCCCCACACGCAGCAGCTTACGGTAAGTAACCCAAGGAAAACCAAGCAGGGCGAGGGGCTGGGGAGCGGGAGGGGTAACCCTTGATGAGGGGCCTGACCGGAACTGAGGAATGAAGACACACAGAACCAGGGAGGGGAATTTTTGGCAGAGACATGAGCAGGTGTGGAGTGTTCAAGAACTAGCATGAGGATCTGTGCAGGTTAGATTGGAGACAGAAATGAGGGTCATACCAGGTGAAAAGGAAAGTTGAAAATAAGAGCTGTAATTTAGCTTAAATTGTTTGGGACAAATGTAAAAGTGCATGTTACCTGGCATACAGTAGGGGCTTAATAAATTTGGCTGTACTTATCTTTTCCATCCTTCCAGCTAATCACAAAGAAATGGGCCCCTGTCCCCAGTGCCCCGTGTATGGAAGAAGGCAACGCCCAGCAGCTATGTTATATTTCTCAAAACACTCTCCGTGAAGGGCTGTTCACGAGCCCGTAGTGAACATGGACCCTCCCGGCCATGCCCTGCGCTAACCGACTCACCATCGCATCAAGGCAAGAGCACAGGATCTTTATGATTTCTTTCCCATATTAGTCTGACAGCTCTCGCCGAAGATAAATCTCTTCTGAAGCCAGAACCCTCGGAGGGTAAATGTTGTGGGTGTGGGGGTGGTGGTTGGGGGCGGAGATGATGAATGATGAGGCAGGGAATAAGAGACGGCTTGTCTTGGTGCAGCTCTCCCAGGAGCTCTTACCTCTTCAACTGTGGTTTTCCAGTGATAGGCTCCAGCCCAATAGGTGCTGGATGTCAACCTTGCATCATCTGAGTTGAACAATAGCCCATGGAAACCCCTACCTCTTGCTTCCCAAATCTTTCAGAATCTTATGGTCTTGATAATGACCACTGCCCTATCTGTGGATGTGTTCTTTTAACTAGTAACATTAAATGTAGTTCTACCAAATAGAAGGTCGCGCAAGCCTTTGGTTCCCCAAAAAAATTAGGATTTACAGAGGTAAATCCCAAGCACTTACAGGAAAGCCAGGGACAATGGCTCTCCCAAGTCTGGTTTAGCATCCACCTGCTGTTACAGGGCACTGCGGTCCGACGCCACCCGCCTGTCCTTGGGGCTGTTGATAATGGCGTCCTTATTCTTCCCTTCTTTGAGGGACCAGGACGCAGGTTGCTGTAGGAGGACTGGAAGCATTTGATCCACCAGGCATTGGATACATCGTCCATTTCTTCACTTCATCTCCGTCACTGTCACGCTTTCCTGCTGATCCTTCCTACGACGACACACTAGGGTCTGGACGAATTCATCTGAGTGGAAAGAATTTCCGCTGTTTGCAAACAACCCTGCCCTGGCTCCCCCCTTTCTTTCTGACTGGTAGTTTCTCCACATTACATAGGTGCATGAAGCAAGTAGACGGTGTTCCCATGGTGGCCTCAGGCCTCGCTCTTGCACCTGGGGGGTGGATGTTGTGTTCCTGTTCCCCAGTCCTTTCCCGGCGGTGGAGTGCTACCCATCTCACTGAAGCTGCCAGCCAGCTCTTGCGGCTGGAGGGGGAGGTTGGGAGCTTCGTGCAGTCAGAACATTGTCACTATTAATCAGGACTCCTGAAAATGCGATAAGGACCGCGGCCTTTCCAGCCACTGGATTTTCACTCTTGGCCCTAAGTCTCCCCGCAGAGCGTCCTGCGGCTCAGTACAAATCGCCCCTTGTTGTGGCCTGCCTTCCTAGATACTGAGAGGAAATTTTTAGGTGCCGACTGATCTTATTGCTTGTCTCGAAACACCAACCACAGCCAGGATGAACTTTTCCGTTTGACGGGCTTCTGTAAGACTCCAAGGTTTCAGTAGGCACGCGTGGGCAGGTTCTCTCTCCCGCCCTCGCCCTCAGCATGTCTTCAGCAGAGCACAGGCCCTCTTGGCAACCAACCAGCGCCTTCCCCCTTCACGCAGAGGCTATGCCCATCCCCTGTGTGGCCTCAGCCCCACCCTGTGAATGCCTTTTTTCCTCGTTGTGGCACGGCCTCCTGGCCCTCTCGTGCCCACTGGGCCACCCTCAGCCTCCGAAAACTCCAGGCACACACCTGCCTATGACAGCCACCTGCTGGCCTTGCTGCCCCACCAGGGACACTCTCCCTTCAGGGGCCACGTGGCTGTCACCCCACTCAAGCCTGGACTCCAAAACTGTGTCTCAGGGAGGCCTTCCCTGGCCATCTGTCTAAAGTGGCAGCCGCACCCCTAACTCTGTCGTGACTTATTTTCTCCTTAGCCCAGCGCCCTCTGCCCACTGTTGGCTTTTCCCCCTTCCGCCTTCTGCTCTCCAGGAAGCCGCCCTGGTCCTCCTGCGCGTGCCCACGCGGGCACTCCCTGCCATCCCTCCACAGCGGCGCCTGTCCTCACGTGCGTCCTCCCTGCAGGACCGTCTGCCTGCTGCGGGCAGGACCGTCCTGCCCTTGTTCCCACGGAGCCCGGGTGGGCAGCGGGTGACAGTGTGCGTGCTCCGGATTGGGAGAGAGGGCGGCAAGAAGTCATCCCCTTCCCCCTACGTTAATGCCCCTAGTTTGTTGAAGGACGCTCGGGTGGGTGTCACAGGCAGCCAGGGTCGGGACTGCCATGCACCCTAAGCTGGGGCGAACTCATTTCCCGCCCTGTCCCCTCCGGAATGACAGCCGCCGCCCACGCACCCGCCCGGCTTGTGCTGTCTGACTGCTGGGCTGTGAGGAGCCGGCTGTGCTGAGAACAGCGCTGGCCGCAGCCTGGCCTCGCGACCTTCCTGCGGGTCCAAGACAAACGCAAGCAAACAGCGGCGGCCACGCGGGGTCATCTGCACAGAGCCCAAGGCCGGGCCCCGGCGCTGCTGTGCAACTCGGGAGGCCGAGGCAGCCGCCTGGACAGGGAGGAGCCGGCCGAGGCCTGCGGGGACAGAGCTGAGAAACGCCGCCCTGTCCTTCAGACTCTCCTCCACCGCCGCCCCACCCCGCACCCTCCCCCAGCGGCCTGCAGCCCCGCCTCCCCAGGACAGAACTCACTGGGGTGACACGGACTGCCCACGACAGCTCCAAGCTGGGGCGGGGGTAAAGCGTGCCCTGGCCAAGGGGCGGCGGCATTTAGCGTTTTACACAGCGCTGAAGCTCGCTGAGGGCTCTGAAAGGCGGGTCCCACCGTGTGGCCATGAAGAGGCCACGGAGAGGCTCCTGGTGGCACCCCACTCCCTGCCCCACAGCGAGGCGAGGGGGAAGGGAGACCCTCCCTGAGGTTACCCTGCATTCATCCAGCCTCGCTGAGAAGTGGCTCCCGCAGGGAGGAACAAAGCAGTGAGGGCTTGAGGCCCCTGCACAGGACAGTGGGGAGCAGTGACTGTCCCAGTCTGAGCAGCAGCCTGGCTGCTCCGGGACGCAGGCCCCCGCTTTGCTCCCCGGGAAGCAATTCCAGGGTCCTTTTAAAATGATCTGAGCGTCTTCGCAGAAAGAGTTTCCAGCCGGCGGGCTTCCCCTGCTGCCACTCTGGGTGTCAGTCATGGGGGCAGGGGACCCATGCCTGTGAGTAGCAGAACGCGGGGCTCCAGCCTCAGCCGCCCAGACAGTGGCGCCTCCCCCGCGTCCGCGGGCCACGCCTGCCCCCTGGCGGTCAGTCGGTGGCATCAGCCAGCCGGCAAATTTCCTGGTCGGGCCTGGAACCCTGGCGGTAACCGGCAGTCCTCGCGTTTGCCACAGGGGGGCGCTGGCGCGGTCGCCGTCGCCGTCCCAGGGACTCAGGCAGCCTTGCAACAACCCTGGGAGTTGGAAGCCATTGGCATCCTCTCCATTTGACAAGGCGGACCCTGAAGTCCCAG